CTCTTTCGTTTTGTGGATTTTCTCTTTTTCATTTATTTTTCACAGTGAGTTGTTGCCTTTAGGTACTAGCTACGTGTATCTGGTGTGGAGGAGAAAGAGAGAAGTTGGCTAATAATTTTACCTCTATCTCTTGGCGGTAGATTTTATTTGTGTGCCTGTAGGTGCGAGTGCTTGCGAGAAAAACGAGATGATGCAATTTTGTATCTTGTATTTCTAGACTGGGGTGGGGTGGGGTGGGGTGGGGGAAATTATTGCGGTCAAGGGGACGTCAATTTCTTAACCCCTGGGACAAAATGTGGTTACTCTCTCTGCCTTTTTCGACTTTCCACGGAATTATGAAACGAATAATTTAGGTTTCTATTTCTGTTTGAGACCAGTCATTCATAGTTAGAGGTTCATGCATGAGGGAGTTTTCTGTGATCATAAGAAATTAATAGATTAATAGTCAACAAATTTAATCGTTTAATGCGCCTGATTAAATATATCCACGTATTTCATATTCGCTATAATTTCAACAAACTCAATGTAAATGAAAATAGAATAGAATAAGAATATCGTCTTGAATTTTCCATGAATTTATCGATGAGGTGAATCCGCCATTGTTAATTGATGGAAATTCATTGGTATGCATTCGGAATGCTGGGCACGAAAATACAAGCAGATTGTAAATTTGGGAGTGAGTTTATCTGTGGGATGAACGCAACGAGCGCAAATCGACGATAACTCGCGACATCCGCCACCCTCCACCCTCTCATACTCCATTGGTCGAAATGGTAAAAGGGTGCCTCTAGGGAGAGAGTCTCCTCTAATCCCAATCGTCCAAAACTCACTCGGTCACTCACTAGCTATCTCTCACCAATAAATCTGGTGTTTTTTTTTTTTTTTTTGGGATCTCTTCAGGAGGATATCATACGAATATCGGGGGGAGATGAGGGAATATTTGCTCGAGTCCTTGGCTTTTTACTGGCATAATTAAACGTTGTATTAAGCGAATTAAAAAAAAATAGTTATTGTTGTCGGGTTGTTATGCGCGACACGCGCGATTGGATATGTTAAAGCGAGATCATTGAGGGGGATTACAGTGGATTTCGAAGGAAGGCAAATGGCTTCACACAATATCGATCTTCAAGCCTGGGGGTATCCGCTAACTGCATGCCATGTTGATTTCGCTGAACACTCGTTTGGAATATGAAAATCCACAGCGTGTCGTAACGAAAAGCGTTGGATGAGCTAGGGGCTATGAATAGAACACGTGGTGAGGCATGCGGAAGATATACTGTGAGAAGATATACTAGATTTTAACGTTAATAAATCCGGCAAACTGTTGCTGACGGACTTAATGAAATTATTAAGAGAGTAATTGTGGAGGATCCGAATTATTTTCGAGATTGCAGCGCAGGAGAAGCTATTTTCGGAGGGTCAGGCATATGTTAGTTACCTCTCACTAACACCTCTTTTGATAGATCCATTCATTTGACTATTGGCTTATTGACATTTGCGGAGAGAAGGACATAAAAAATTTTAAGGCTTGCTTGTCTAAATACAGTGGCAATTCATCTGTTATTACTTGAAATTTGAAGAGGCATTCTGTAATGCCGTGTACAGGTGAATAGTGAAGCTAAAAAAATTAGGGAAAAAGTTTGTAATTTTCACGGCGCAAGCCATCTCTCGCCCTAGTTCTCCAGGTCAGCTGGTGGGTTATTAGGGGCAGTTACTGAGGACACGGGGAGTCAGGGGTTGAAACTTGAAATTTCATCGTCGACCCCCAGTGCCAGCACTACCACTATCACTTCTAGAGACAAGGCGTAAAAATTGTATGAGTCAAGTAAAGATAGACGTGAGTCCCGGCCCTATAGCGTCAACGGCGCATTTATTCCTCGATTCATCGATAAAGCATATTATGCAGGGAGGAATCCACCTCAGCAAATTGCTGCATGAAAACGGAATCACGATTTTGGGCATGGATAAATAATATCATATAACAATCCCGGTAATAGTCACTCGTCGGAAGGACAATAAAATTATTATCATTTAAATACTCACGAAGACAGTCTGCTCCCGTGCCTCTCACGCTCTGCAACAGAAATCAATTCACATGTTGAACAATGAAGAATATATATAAATATCTAAATCAATTAAATTGCTGACAAGTCCTAAAACATTGAGTACATCCTCAAAAAAAACTCTATTCCTTGGAGTATCTTTGAAAGATCGATAAATTCGTCTGTCAATACTCGATAAAACTTGTTCCAAGAAATATCTCTTATTAACTCTTATCTGTGGACAATCTTTGACAGCCAAGTAGAAACGCCAGTTCATTCAAATGAAAACTACTAATCTCTAGCTTAAAATTTCTTATGCAATATTAAATTTTTGTGAACATTGTTGAAAATGGCAAAAGATGCTCAAGAAGAGATAAAAGGATAAAGGAAGAACGAAGCAGATGCGAAGGGCCGAAAAATTCGTTGACTAGAGAATGAAAAGTCGTTAAATTCACCGGTGTAAAACTGGACTGGGGTAAAGTGGCGCGAGAAAAAGGGGATAAGGGGTTGAAAAGAATCAATGGGGTAAAGTGAGCGGACGAAGAAGCGAGAAGAATGAAAACGAGTGAATCCTCTCGGATCACGATCGGAAGTAATGTCTTTCTCAAATGTTATTTCCGTCACGTACAGCATCACTGGAATCGGCCAATCGTGGTAAAATACGGTTGAAAGGGAGAAAGGGCCCTTCACGCGGTTGCGGCCCAAACGCCAACCGTTTTCCCCCATCTTCGCCAACAAATTGATTCGATTATTCGTATCGGGAAGTGGTCACCCTGGAGCTTACACGTGTTTCGCTGCTCATTGTGTAACGATTAGCTTTTGTTTTGTATTGTTCTAAGTGAAGGATTAAAAAAATTGTTGGCCTATCAGGCGCTGAGCGATGCCGGTTCGAACCTCGCCTTGTGTGGGGCAGCTGGCCTAGGCTCTGTATAGGCTCACACACAGCCACCTCATCCTGAGAGTGAGCACCTGGTTTCTTCACTCCAACTTTGCCAATAAACAATAAACCAATGGCTGCAGTTTAACCGTCATACATTATTACCCTCATTTCAAATCATACCCAATTCTGGCAACTTGCTGAAAAAATTCATTACCAAACAGCTGAATGATTGGAGGAACTGATGAGCTAACGGCAATTCACCAAGGAAAGTATCTTCTTGTCTGAGTTTCACGGGATTAATCCGGTATTTTCATCACGTACGAGCCACGGGGTTGCGAGGTTGTGCTACTCGCAGGAAAAAAAAAAAAGCCGGTTGAAGAATAAAACTCGAGAAATGAAAAGAAGCGGTTCCTCGGGGCCCAGGTGGAGGTCTATCCGTTGCCGAGACAAACGTTTCATGACTACGTATGGCATCGTAAAGACGCTCGACACCTGATACTACAATGAATAACCCACCCCTCGCCGTCTCTTGCTCCTTTCCAACAACTCTCCCCGCCCAACCTCTCTTCAAATAATTTTTCATTAAATAAATATTAGGAAAATGTCAAATCATCACCTGAAACCAGCAGATAACTGACCAACCCCTTCAATACCTCAAACTTTGTGCACATGATGTGAAAGCGTTTTTAATAAATCAGCCACGTGTTTACATCCTTCCGGTGGGCCTCCTCTCCTCCTCTCCTTCTCTCCCACCCCCACCACCACAAGTGCACAAAGAGACTGCACCCGGAGAACGCGCACGTGAGTTGAGAGGTGTTACACCTCACCTCACCTCACCTCACCTCACCTCACCTCACCACTCCTTTCCTCTCCGCTCCTCTCCTCTGTTCTCCTCTCTTCTCCTCTCTTCTCCTCTCCTCAGCTAAGCTCGGCCGAGCTCGACTCAATTGAGCCCAACTCTGCACCGAGACAAGCCAAAAATTCCAATTCCCACCAATTGCACTACCAAGCCAAATAACTCCTACTACTCACAGATACCTTACAATTTGTTAATTTTATAATTTTAAGTGGATAAACTCAAGTGAAAGAATGGGAGAGAAACTAACGGCAAACGGTTTAACTCGTTATATTCAGTTAGACGTGTCTCGGATGACTGAGGGCATGAGCATTGGGACGAGCGGCAAAACGAGCGTGGCACGAACGCAAGCGAAATACATTGGACGCTTTTTGTGTTTAGTTGTGTGTGAGAGGCCACCACATTGCATTAAAAACGGTGGCGGGAAAGGTTGGGGGGGTTAGAGGGTTGGGGGGGAATAAAAAGGCCCGAAGTGAGCCGAAGCAAGGAGCCTCGGCAGTGATCGAGTCTTCACCTGCTGGCGGTCTGGCGGTCTGGCGGTCCCCCTTGTTGAGGCTTTGTTTGTAGCCCCCTCTTCACTCCCCTATCGTCTCATCCGTCTCAACAATTCACCTCCCACCCGACCCCACAACCAACACCAATCCACCAGTTCAACATGTGTGCACATGTGGCATCGACCGATGGGGCATCAAAGAGAGTGTGTGAGCTGGGGTGTTCTAGGGTGTTCCAGGTTCAGGGGGTAGTCACGAAAAAGCTGTAATTCATGGCAAAATGAAGAGACATCTTTTCCGCGCTCGTGAAAGTGAGAGGACATTTCGGTTAAATGGGAAAATAGCGGTAGTCGGTAGTCGGTAGTGACATAAACCGAGGATTAGAATGCACAGATGGATTTTTTAACTCTGACGTGAATAAAACCGTGACACGTGTGAGTCTTTATTGACTTGGCCGTGTTCAGTTGGCGCGTGGACAAACATTTCGACTCAATTTTTTTCCCCCGTTTTAATTAACATCGAGATTTATGAGCCTGGAGCAGATGAAATATTTGCTCCGTGCTCAATTCGTTGACTAAAAACATCAATTTATTTTCAGGGAGAAATTAAAAAAGAGAATAATTAACTTCCGCCATTAGGAAATTAATACGAGCGTACAATTAACACCGAGAAGGGAGAATCTTTCAACAGGGGAGTAACTGGGTCAATCGATGAGGGCCTTAGACAAGAGGGTGAATATTCTCAAGAACATGCCTAAAAGTTTCGCATGTTTTATTGATGGCTTCGAGGCAAAGGCAGGGAGCTAGTATTTTCAAATGTTCCATTGACATTCTATCCATCCTTCAAATCCAGTTACCATATTAGATTCTATATCTGATCTATCATCAGGGCTGACCTGATCAAATTCTGATCAGAACCTGATGGAAATTTCAACTCCGCATTATTGTTCATTCATCGGTGCCATTGATATTCCGCAATTATTTGATTTCGCTCAACGCGCTGCAATCGTAAATTGGGTCAGTGATCAGTCCACAAGTTTAATCATTCATTTATGGAGTGTGGATGGACCATTTAGTGATTCGATAAAGGGATTTAGAATAAACCGGGCAGAGACTGGCATGACTGTTTTGTTTGGTCCTATTTGTTTTTTTTTTTTAATAAATGACATTTTTTAATTATTCCGGGTCGGAGGGAATGGTGGAATATTATTGGAAAATTGGAATGAATGCCATTTGAATAAATATTGTTTTTAGATGGATTTACGTGAATATTTCATAGTGAATCTCGCTATTCCGAAACGTTGAATTTTCTATCTATTCTACAAAGTTCAAAATTTTAAGATGAAATTATCAATATTTTCGTATAGAATTTCACTGGCCAAAATATTTTATGAGACTGAGGGGGCTTGATGATCTTATAAGTGGGTCGCGTGCTTACAAACACATGTGAGATAGTCACGAAGTTTCTCACTCAAGTTGAACTTCGTCGTTAACCTTCGAGGAGAGCCCGCCGCAGGTCAGGGACGAATGAAATTTCGTCAATTTTTTATTTTCTTCATTTTCACAACATGACTATCACAGAGAGAAATAAATGCCACCTTCCGGTGGATTTTTCATTCTCGTCGAGGTCGTGAGATGTGAATGTTTCAGGGAAGAAAAAGGTGAAGAGAAGGAGTGACAAGCTACGGAGGATTGGAAAACTTTTTCCGAGATTCAAAAAGCTCTTGAGATGGTACGAGTGAAATCCCCAGTGGGAAGGAATAAGAGAACGCTCGGTGGTGAAGATGGAATGCGTTGTCGATAGGTCTCTTACGGATCATTGTGCAAAGACGAGATTAAATCAATTTTATCAAGGGAATTTTATAAGGGCTTTATAAATTATTAGCTCCAAGAGGTAAAACCTTAAATTATTCTTTCGTTATTATTATTATCATTATTATTGAAGAATAGCTGCTTTAAGTTAACAAAAATGTCACGCGTAAGTATCTAGAGATAACGATTCCACATGAGATAATATTGTTTTCCATGGAGACTGGGGTAGGACCAGCCCTTGATGAATAACACGATCATAACGATTATTAGGCAAAGAAAACTGCGAAATCTGGTTCGTTTACGGGATGGTTATCGAGTACTCGACTATTTACAAGCTTTCAACAATTATTACTCTTCTCCCCCATCTTGGCATTGCCCCTCGGTTATTTCATGGGTAAATGTTGGACGGACTCTCGCATCGAAATCGGAACGTGGGAGACACTTTGTCTTTTATAGTCCCCACAGAATTTTATACATGCGAAAAATTACTCGGACTAATATACCACTCAATAAAACGATTGTTAACATTTTAATAATTTGTGAGAATTTTCAAGGGAATTGTTTTAGACACCCGTCCAAGTGGGTGATCGAAGACGATTGAAACGTTGAGACCGAAGGAGAGGAATTGTGCTCAATGGCTTGATTGACGGGCTAAAGAGAGAAGAAACCAGACATACGAAAAAAAAAAAAAAATCGATACACTCAATGCATGCGAGGACTCACAAACGAGACTGGAGGGTTAATCAAGTCGAACATTTTCAATTATTCCAATTTCGTGTCGAGGGAACCTCGGGACGAGATCGATCGGAGGTTCTCCGCCAATCTCCCCCTCAGTACAAACATTCCAATTGAGTATTAATCAATTAGAATTCTCGAGTCGACCCTTTATTCACTATTTAGCAAACCCTTCATTAGATGGTGAATATCTTGAAAAAAAAAAAAATTCTCTGTGTCTCCACAAAATGCTCATTCGCTATTTTGTTTCTTACTCGATCCCCATAAAAAACCTCCACTGAAGGATAAACAAATCACCGGCAACCGGCAATTTGATAAGAAGAATGCCAAAGTGCATCAAGTGATTTGTGGTACATCGAGTGATCCCCTCAGGATAAATGATCCGCCATTCGCACCATTTCGAGGATAGAATCAGCGACTCCAAGAAGCACTCTTTCGAATCCTCCCAAGTCACGAGAGGAGTGTACCAGAGAGTGAGTAGAGTGGTCCGCTGTTGAAATTAAATATCGAATATCGATTCCGGGGAGAGACAGGTAGTTTTCGGTGGATGCAGGGGCGGATATACGTGGCCGACCTACTTGCCCGATCATGAACCTAACTAAACCTCCAACTCTACCCCGAGATATCGCCATCAGATACCGCACCTCGGGGACTCGCCAAGAGCCAACTTAACAAATTGCATTTCGCCCCAATATAAACATCACAAAAAGCCCAATATACCTCTGATTAAAACCAATCCAGCGGTGATTCCTCGTTATTATCATTCATTACCAGGAATCACAAAATAAGCTAAGAGTTTTATTCAACTCTGGGATTAATCCAATTGTCATGACTTCAGAATACCAACACAGAGAGAAAAAAAAATGAGCGGAGAAAAAGCGAAACAGATAAATAGAGATAAGAAAGTAAAAAATAAAATGAGGGACGGATGCAAAGTGGCGGCAATGCGAATATGTCTACAGCCACTCTAGTCAAGATGCCCCTTTTTGCCCTCAACGCATCCACCGAGGCAAGCAGGTCGAAGTTACTTAACGTGATTAAACCACCCTTGAGCCTCTGCTCTACTTGGCCTCCGGCTGGTTATACATTCGTCTATACCAAACCCCTTGCACACGTTTGCATTTTCAATCCACCTCCTGAATTATATGACTAGCACATGCTAATGGGGCGCAGTTGTCTTCTTCGTTTCGATCTTTCATTTATTCAGCATTTATACAATTGACAAATTTATGAATCCTCAATTATTTTAATTGGGTGAAGAAGAAAAACTTGTCACTCATTGCTCACAATACAAGTGGCAACTACCGATAAAGATGATTAAATTGCAATTCAACGTGACTATGTTGAAGTTATTGGATAAAAGCCGACATTGAGGAATTCTCGGAGAGTGAAATATCAGGTTGAGTTATCCCCATTGGTGATATTAATTTATCGGATTCGTTTATTCAGAGGGAGCCGGTGGGCTTCATCTCGGTGAGTTGAAAGGGTAAGGAATTTGATCGAACCACCATGGAACGTGGTGAGGAAGCGAGATAGGAGAACGATTGAATATTAAGTGGTTGGGACTCTTGGCATGGAACCCAAAGGATAAATGAACGAGGGAGAGGGTAAAATTTCGTGAAAATAGCTTGATAGAGAGAGAGAGAGAGAGATTCGAGTTGCTGGGAGGAATGGGGGAGCGCTTAAATTGGCCTAACTTATTTACCGCAAGACGATATTCAATAGTTAATTTCACATTTTTGTCTTTTAAAAAATGGAGACTTTAATCGAGTAGCCAAGTCGTAACGTAAATAACTGCTAAGATAAAGCAAATTTTCCTGTACAAGATCAAGAAGGGTTTTCCAACAGCGATCCTAAAATCGCTAATACGTCAAAAATAAAGTTTCCAGACACTCGAAATTCGCTGAACGCGTGGGTTGTCCGCCAGTCTTTGACTCGTTAAGTCAATAACAGTGCCAACCAAGAAGCAAATGGTTAATTCATGAAGCGACCCACGCGCACTCGTACAATTCAAATCATACGATCGAGATTATTCGAGCATCGAGAGTAATCATTAATGTATTTTGCAACTCACGTGGTGGTTTGGAAGAGTCCGCTGGTGGCACTTCAGTCAGCTGTAAAAAAAAATCATTTGTCAAATTAGTATTAGCCGAGGAATAATGACGTTGTGCACGAATGAATATGCACAATTCATAATATCTGCTCTTCACATTATTCACTGCATCACATATTGTCCAAGGACAATGACAAGAATATAATTTGTCAAGAAACGATGACGCACTTGCCAGACATAGAACTAAGTTGTTCAAAACCAAACTTCAAACCTCCTCTAGTTTTTTGAAATTTCTTGTACACGAGTTGAAGTGAATCAGTGGAGAATCAAATAAATTTATAGTTAAATTAATTAAAATCCTTCTCTACATCAATCATTGTTAACGATTGTCCGGATATTATGCAACACCGAAAGCCCAATAAAATTCTATTAAAATGTGGTCCTGCATCATCAAACATTCCCATGAACTTTAATTATGAACTCGGCTGCCCATCGAAGGATTCGATCTGACAATCTCTACACATGTTCAGCAAAACCATTAAACAATAGCCTCTAAACACTGAATTTCAAATGACATGTAAATTATCCTCATCACATAACCCCCATATCACTCAACGTCCCACAATTTAAATATAATCCTCACCTAGGAGGTCAACTGAGCCCTAAATCCTCAACTTCCCCAGCATAAATCCTTTATCTAAAATTATGCAGCAAAGAATTCATTGAATATACAAGAGAAAAACAAGGATCGAGGGAATAAAGCCCAGTGAATATTACAACCCAGAGAATTACCGGGGTTATAATTTCACCAGCTATTCATTATTTTTATTTCTTGGGGTTTGCCTTAATTAAAGTGGGTTTAGCCCCCCGCTCATCCCGCCCCGCGCTGTCGCCATTAAAAATCAGCGTTCGCTAATTCGCACTGGGAGTCGCGATATTTTTTTCCTTTCATTTTTAAACTGACTGTGGTTCATCCCTATCCCCCTACTCTCTGGAAAAAAAAACACGACAGGCCACTTGGTGGCTTTGGTGGTTCGCTGCGTACACCAGACCAGAGAGCGGCCAGAGGACGACCAGAGGGGGATGAAAATTTATCGCGCGAAAGTGCTCATCCCTCTTTGCGTTTTACATTTATTTTCAACGCGTCCTCCACTCGCCAAAAAGAGGACGACAAGAATTTCAAGAGAGAATCTTGGTGATTTTTTATGAAAATCCATCAACAATTCGTGAATGGATTGGTTAAAATTTGGTAATTAATTATGAGGTGAAGGGAAAAAATAGGCGAGCTTAGAATTGAGGATTAGTGATCAGGCTGTTTGTAGAAATAAGTGTAAATCTCAATATAAAGCCAATGAAAAAATGTAATTGTGGCGCAGAAGTGGAGAGGGGTGGCTATATAAATGGACCGGAGAAATTTACGTGGCGTATATACGCGCTCCAAAGGTGCGAGACCGAGTTAACCGGTGCCTTTACGATCCTTATTTCCACGGGGACTTGGACTCATCCCATCCATGCGTCGCTCCTGCGCCATATCGGAAAAACTCCGCGTCTCTTCCTTCCTTCCTTCCTTCCGCATTGTACGAATTTCTCTCGGATAAGCCAAGTCGAATGCATTTTAGCCTCATCAAAAAGTACGGAGGTGGGAATAAAAATTATTTGTCCGGCATGGGCATGTTCGGGCCCAGGCTACTTGGTCATTTATCATTTATCCATCCCCGTTGTCCCCAATTATCCGGCCAACAGAAAAAAAACATTTCCAAATTCCCAATCGAATCAATTATCCTCCGATTGAGGAAATTATTCTAAAGGTTAAAAGTTAATATTAGCAATTGCATGGATTGCTCTTCTGAAGAAATCCGAAAATTACATACCTTAGCAAGAACCGGATTAAACGTGAACTTAGATTCTGGTTCTTTCCTGGGTGTCTGCGCAATTGCCGTCAGAGGTGTAGGTGGCATCGTCATTTCCTACAACACAGAATAGCATAAACCATCAAAAACCATAATAATCAAATAAATATAGCAAAAAGTCGTGATTCAAAAGATTTATCTATCTAGTAAATAAAATAGAATCTATAATGGAGAATTTTCAGTATTTCCAAGAGTGATGTCGTCGATTCGTAGAAATGTAATGTTTCATATTGACGGGAATAAAAAAAAGCGAATTCAACAGCCTCTCAAGTACATCAACCCGTGATTTATGTAGTTTGCGGTTTCTCGAATTATGCAAATAGTGGAGAGAGGCGAAAGAGGTGAGGGTGAGATTCATGAAAAGCTGTTGAGGTACATTGTTACACGGTTTCGCGCACCGAGGACAGCACCCAAGGGTCCCTCATAGACCACCACAAATGAGATGCAATAAAATAATTCCACTAACGGAATTATAATCGATAGAGATGGAAAAGTAAAGGAACAAAGAGAAGATTGTCATTGATAGCATGTTTTAGGATGGTTGTCAGAATAAGACGGTGTAAGTGAAGATAGGAAGATGCGATATCCTTTTGGTGGCGCGTATGCCACGCACCATCTATCGACTTATCGATTTGCCACCGCTACAGCCAACGCTGGCACCACCTCAGCCACCTCTACCATAGGGGTTGGTTACGGTATGGCTCAAAGTGGAGAGAGTATATGGTTAGAATAGTCTAGAGGGGAATCTCCTAACTACCAACCGAGGCCTGGGTTGCCTTGCTACGCTGCCAACGTCTCAACAACTTTATGATCCCTATCCGACGAGAGAAGACTTCTATTTTCTCTTTCCCTGGCTTTGCCTTTCTCTCAACTTTTCCAAGAGCGAACATTCAACTCTTGATAATTAACTATTTTTAGAGAAGACTATGAAAAGGTATTACATAAGAATCCTTCAAGATCCTGCAAAAGCATAATACCGGAAAAGCGATATAGCGCAGATTATTTGAATAGATAGGAGGAGGCGTGTAACGTCCCACCTGTACACGTGCTCAGGCAGGTGACTATAACCAAGCGGATAATTATGCCGAGCACGTGAAGAAGCGAAAACCCGTTACTGGACAAGCGGCCTAGTCGCGCGTAAGTGCACACTCCCTCATGCCCTCTCTCCATCAACGTCATGACGATCATCATCATCATTGCCGTGCGGTGGAGCATCAGAAGAGGTGTATGAAGATCGCTGGGCTCGTCAACCTCAAGCACTCGAGGCACTCGGCTAAAGAGTGGCCCTTGGGGCTCCCTCCTAACGCCTAATGGATTCCCACCCAACCAACCAACCAACCAACCAACCAACCAACCAACCAACCAACCAACTATTTTTCTATTTTTCTATTTTTCTATTTCCATATTTCTATTGCACATCCACCACCATCACCATCTTTTTTCCTCAATTCAATACCCTTCAGTCTCTTTCAATAATTTTTATCTATCAGTGGTCAATGATTTTTCACCTGTCAAACACCCGTTATGTGGGGTAATTCCAATTGCGTAAGGACCAAAACATATCACGTACACTCTCACTCGTCTTCTCTCGAGGCTCTTTAGTGTGCACCGGATTTTGTCACACAATCGATCCTCCACTCTGTCGATGCAGCTACAATGGAGAGTAGAAATAGCGTCGGCCCAGATTCTCACACCTGCCACAAGCCCGTTTGTCGGGGCAATTTTTTTCTACTTCATTCCGACCGATCACTTATCATTTTACCATCGCAATGAAATATTCGACTGTTTTCAATGATAAAATAACGCAGAGATGCTGTTTAATGTCCTGATTCATCCCCCATTAAACCATCGTGCGTCGACAATAAAATGGTGGTGGTAGATAGTGATACTTTGCGATAACCACTGATTACGACATTTGATAGGTAAAATTTTGGCAAAGAGGATAGCGGTTGGAGCTCTATCCGTGGTGGCAATTAGCAGTAGCATTTACGATGCCTACCGGGCGCAACTCGTATTTTCCCACGGGCCAAGCCGTGAGAATAATTCATAGCATGCTCGGCCGAGTGTGCGTCCGTGCAAGCAGAGGAACCCTACTACCACTACCACCACTCGCTGCCGACTCATTTTCAACTGTGCAATCCGCTGTATTCATCTACTTTTCTTTTTCACTTGCCAATCTCAATTCTCCACAAATTTCCAATGAAAACTCAATTCTCCTCTTTTTCCACTTATCTTAATTTTCTTCATTTGTTAACTATCAAGGAAATCCTCTTGAAATTTACGTTAAAGACCAAAAAACTCGTAGCATTAGCGTAAAGATTGAGACAAACGACGTGTCACATTTGGGGCGATGTTATGCGACCGAATAAAAAGGGTATGCCGAGATGAATCATAGGGGTGATAGTTGCCATGGAGTAGTAGGCAACAGCCATCGAAGAGAAGCCAGAATTACGGGTATATGTATGTAGCAACACCAGGGGATACAGAAAATTACATGCGTGACTCATCGCCCAGTGGTGAGATACAAGTCGGTGGTCTCTCTTTTGGATCAATAAACGCATCCATTGTATTTACACTCGAGCAATCCGTTCAGGGACAATTTGTGGCTCCATTAGATCATGCAATTATTTTATCGCTGCAGGATCGTCTTGATAAATTTACGTATATATAATCACGCCAAAAGGTGTTGGAGTGTAACTCGACTTTCATGAATTTTCATTTGATATTCGAATAATATTTTGCGTACTCACCTTGAGAATATTCTCGAGGTCGGCGCTATCGTTGAGATCATGTCTCATTCCCTACAATGGAAAGAATCATTAATTAATGAAAATTTCCATTCTAATGAATCAAATATCAATAAATTATGAATTTAAAATGATTTATCATTGTCAATCGTTTTGCTACATGATGACTAATATGTTGTGACATGCAAGAAGGGTAATTAACCCTTGGAAAATGACAATTCCGTGAGTAGAGTAGCTGCCTTGAGCGCAACAATAGAATAACAAAATACTCACATTATCAATAGGTAGCCTGGTAAGCCTGGATCCAGCAGCGTGAACTCTCGTGTTACCAGTCAAAGGAGGACAGTTACCGGAAGAGGCAGGGCCAGAGCTGTTTCCGGCTGAATTCCCACCAGTACCAAGTGGTGGTCCCTTTGCTGGTATAATACCGTGGCTTCTGTGATCATTGCTATTACCACCATGTTTAACAGGTTGGCCTGGATAACCACCACGTCCACCGTAGGGTGGCTTACCATCAGCTGGTTTAACAAAACCACCTCTCTGTGACGTGTGACTCGTTGCTGATGCACCCCGCGGACCATTGCAACCGGGTTTCTTAAATTCCTGGGTTGACGGTGAGCTTGGACAATTGTTTCGACCTTGTAATCTTGTTGTACCACCTGATCCTGGTGGCGCTGGACTCGGTGGTACATCAACAACACCAAACAGCATCTGGGGCTCGACCAGTAAGTGCTTCACACGTGAGTAATTCCCCAACTTGGACTGAATCTGCTGGGTGGCACGATCTTGCGCGTCAGGATTCACCTGCAACAGGTTTTTCCAATCTTCATCAATTGAATCTTGAATATTTGGGTGGAGTGATTTTGTTCGTTAAATTATTTGGGTTTACCAGTCATTCGACAGATCAACATTATACTCATGCGTTGAAAAATATTTAGTGGTGAATAATAATAATAATAAAGTAAATATGAAGTGAGGATTTGTGGTGTTTGAAAGGGGCCTCGAAAAAGCCAAGTGTGGAGGAGTGTGTGTGTGCGTGCGTGAGAGAGGATCGAGGATGGAAGATGGAAGGTGGTGGGTGTGGGCGGTAAGGGGAGGGATATGACCAGGTCAGGGTTTTCACGTCCGTCACAACCTCGTCTAACTTCACCTTCACCATTTACCGCTCTCTTTCGCCAAACGACACGTCCAATTGCAAAGACCAAACTAAACCATAGGCTTCTTTTTCTCCATTATATAATAATTTGTGTGTTAATTTGAGTGATAATTTTTACCTCATCTCTGAGGTTTTTTTTTCGCATTTGAAAGAGTAGTTGAAGTGTTGAGTAATCATTCGAGCTGTGGGCTAAGTGACGTAGGTAGGGGTTGACTGGTCAAAGGGTCGGTTTCATTCGCTACTAGAGTTGCAAACCCACATGTGGTGTATTAAATGGTGTTCTTCCCTTTGGCCCGACGACGAGGGCCGATCACGGGTAAAACACTACGTCGTAATTAATCACGCACGAGTCAAGGTCCTCGGAGATAGGGAGGTAGGGAGGTCGATGGGAACGATCGTGTGTAAACCCAACCCAGTGAGAAGTATGTAAAGTGAAGCGAGGGGCTGATTTTAACGTGACGGTAGCATCCCCAATTAGCGTTTTCATTAGCGAACTCAAATGCTCCATTTGTTCACGCTGTATATCCACAGATATCTCTGATAGAGTGTGCGTCCACGAATTTTTATCATTCCAGTTGAAAAAGAGCGTTGGAGTATGATCTGCACGGTTAATAGATGCAACATTAATGGTTGGTTGTTGTAATTTGTTGAAAAGGGAGTGATATTGAAAGAATAAAGAAATCCAAGTGTAATTGAGAAAAAGTGGAGATATGTTTTAATTTGGTGATTGCGAGAGATTGGAAGGGTTGTTATATATTGCTGGATAGTAGAAGGAGGGAAAAGAGAAAAAAGGAAGGAGAGGGAGTGCAAGGGGCGTACGTGCCATCGTTTCTCGGGCTTTCCATTTTAAAAGGTACGTGTCTCGCATCCAGCGTCAAGCTCCCGCGACTCCAGTATCACTGTGTGCACTCATTCTATACTTTTCCCTCTTGGACGTCTCTCGTTCACTCACACTCGGCCCCTTGCTCTTCTGCATGCGAAATTCTCGCATTCTACCTCGTCGCGGAAAATTCACGAGCTTCAGAGGAGTGGGAGAATGTTAAACGGCTCGAGATCAAGATTTTTCACTCTTATTTCGTGTTTTCTCCAGTTTTTCCCATTGATATGAATTTCATAGTCAGTTTTATTCCTATTTCATTGCATTTTATATTTTAGACATTTGTCCAGTCAATGGAGGGAAATTAAATTTTTTATTTCAATCAACTCAAATTTTCGGGGGAGTAGCGAAAATATTCTAGAAAAAGTCCCGACTGATTATCAACAAACCGTTATGCCAATGAATTAAAATACCACATGGTTTTACCCCGATTCCGTAAAAAAAAAAATCTCCCTCTCAGGAATGTGAAGAATTTTTTTCCCTCTGTGAATTCTTTTTTCGCCACTTGAGATTCTTCGAGAACTGCCGGGTATCCCAACGGATACGAGTGAATGAGTTATAAGAGAATGTCATCAGAATGTTTGAAAATACTAATCATTCCAAAGTTAAAGGGGAATGAAGGAAAGGTACCAAAAGAGAAGGATAAATGCGTCGATCCACTCATCTGTGATTATATCTCAAACCCAGACATTTTCCTTTGCTCACTGTCCTCCTAGGTTTTATATATATATATATGAGAAAAAAAAACTATACAATATATATCCTTGCGTAACCTCCAGACACTCAGACAGAAAAAAGGGCGTAGGGATGAGAGTAGTAAGTAGAAAGAGGAAAGGATGGAGAGGAGAGAATAAAAATGAATCCTGAGAGAATGAAAAAATGCCGCTCGATCGGGCGCGCTAACATTCGTTGAGGGTTGGCTAGGGGTTGGCTTTTTTCATCGTCTTGTCGGCCCGAGGGCTGTCTACCTACTTTTTCATAAATTCAACCCGCCCAAAACGCACAAATTATTTTCCTACTTGGATTGCCATAGCATAATACGACGTCTAGTTCATTGACTTTCCACCATTTGAAATGTACTATTGACCACTGGTTAATAGTACATTTTTTAATCATAATTTTCAATGATTTTTATTATGGATTAGTATGAGTGGAAGTAATGAGGAACAATTGTGAGTGTTATTCTTGGATTGCGCTACTCAGTATTATGAATGCAATTGGAGGTGCCCACAAAACCCTCAGAAAATCTGGATTTAGACGGCAGTTGTCCCGAAAATAGATCGGTCGACTCATCTCCCTCGACTATGGGAGATAAAACGTCAACAATATACCTCATACCACATGCTTTATACATTTCAAACAAATGAGTGATTATTTGGTGGTTGTTAATCAGCTATTTCGCCGTGATGGTGAATTATAATGCGCTAACGCATTGGATGCTATTTTCGGAAGCGGCGAATTGTTGAATAACAAATAGCATTACACGATGATTAATAAAGGCATTCTGGACGATCGTTCGTTCACTCAGGCCGTTTTAATCAACATGTCGAGCCCCTCCCACCAGCAACCCAATGACAATATAATTATCTCTCTATATAATTCTCCATACCCTCAGATTCACGCTGAAATCAATGATCAATGATGCAATGGTTAATTAAAATGTCTGGCCTCTTATCAGACATTAACTGTTGTCGCCATTTGCCTTGCAAGTCCAGACACTAATAAAATTATCAATCCATATCGAGGGGAATTTATATTGGAATTAAAACGGTTATGGACTGGTTCCATACAGGAAATATTCGAATTTCATTAAATATTCACAATTCATTAACTCATTGAGTTGAACGATAAAAATTTGTCGTGAGAAAAAATTTTCAGAGTAATGTCCATAGAAATCTAGCTCCGGGGAAAGTCAATAAAAAGAGAGAAAAACCGGCGGAACCTCTGGCAGATTGAATCGAGAGAAGTGTTTGTCTGCCTCCCTATCACTCTCCCAAAAGAAAATAATTGCCGATAAAAACATTGTGTACAGTGTACACGAGGAGGAAAAAAGCGAGAGAATAGCTCTTAATCAAGGAGATATTTTGGATTTATCGGAGTGAAGTTGTAGTGTTTATTATGTGTGCTTTTGGAAGGTATTGGATGTCACACACATAAATACACACAATGCATGCAAACACATAGATATATCGTGAAGGAGCCAGATGGGCCAGAGGGATTAATTAATCGTGCCCCTTGGCAGAGCTCCATAGGCGAGTGAAAGGTGTGTGAGTGAAGACAATAGATACGCGTGTGTGTGTTTATAGTGTGGCAATGGGTATACGAGTGGGTGGAGGCAATGGCGGCAATTCCGCGTGTTCGCCGACTCTCCCAACTCCCAACAAATTCACTCCCTCCCTCTTATTACAACCCCACTGTCCCCACCGTCCGCCAACTTAATATTAATAATCATTTTTATTTCCTATTAAATTGTATTGCTATTGATCAATCACAGCATTGACAATTTTCAGCAAAATCTTTGACCACTGCATGTTCAGGCCGTTAACTCACTTTTACAAAAACAAGCAAAAAATGAAAAAAAAAAAAAAACACCCGATGAAGAATGAAAGGGAAAGGGGGGTGGCATGGAAAAGTCGAGAGTAAGAAACGCAACGGAATCTGAGGAACATAAAAAGGAGGTAGCGGAAGTTGGAAAGTCGCACAAACGTGGAAAAAGAGGAGTGAGTATATAGTACAGAGAAAACGAAGAATCCGAGGGCATCCTCCGACTCTCGAGTCTCGTCAAGCCACCACATTATACCACCCACCGGGTATTGATTCCAAAGCCCACCCCTGCTCTCTAGCACCTCCACCCTCTTCACCCCCTCTTTGGCCCCTCCACACCAACTGCTTTTCCCTTTTCTACATTCGCCCTTCTTCTCTACACCTACACCTTCCTTCGAAAAATATTATTCACCATCAAAATTTATACCAATAAATAAATAATTTTCAACTTTTAATGAAGTCAAATGCAAAGAAAAACTTGAATGAGAAAAAATTTTTATCAAGTACTTGAATATCCTCAACTGTGCATACATTACTGTCTACTCGATCAGAGGAAAATGAGAGGGGAATCCCACTCCTCTCTACCGGCCAACAGGTCGAATAAGCTATCCGAGTGGTTTAATAAATTACCATGAATATCAGAGTTGAATGACGCAATTTCATCGTGATCTCGTTAACTCGGGTAATTATGGGGGATTTTATTGGTTTCGCCTTGTGGCAATCTGGGGAAAGAAAGTTATTTGTACTGTGCTATTTATTTTTGGGTTTGGTTTGTATTTTCACGGTGTTTGTTTGATTTGAGCAGTTAGAATGAATGTCGAATTATTTTGGTGGGCAGAAAGGAATACGGCGTCATTCAACTTTATTTCCTTTAGTAAAAAAAGCATGGAGTGGAAAGTGTGATGGGTGGTGAGCCAAAGGATGCGTTCTCATATGAACCATCATTTTTGTAGATTTTTATGAAATTGGAATACTTCACCATATCAAACAAATATCTCACATTCGTTATAATAGTAATGTAACTATCGAAACATCAATTATGATTCGATTATGAATTTAATCGAATGGCCAAAGTCCGAATCAATAATCCGTGTCAATTGTTTTGATGACATTCACTAGAAAACTTTTGTTCAAGAGGTACAATATTTGCTGACATATTATTTCAGCATTATGAATTTTTATTATTCAACTCCATGGGGGAAAGTGTTTCAAAAAAATATTTCGGGATTAGGGAGAATTAATGCTCGGGGACTCTAATACCCATTTGTCTGATAAATCGAGGGACATATATTTTTGTTAATCGTGAATGGAAGAAAATAAATTTGGGGCAGAGATGAGAATTCACTAGATGAATCGTTAGTTTTAATTATGGTGGACATTCTAGAATAAAACCGTTGCGGAAGACAAATAAAAATTTGTTGAATGGGAGGAGTATTGAAAAAAATATTGAAAACTCAGTTGTCCTGTCACACTTGATGATATATTGACCGATGAGAATGCGATTGAAGATGTAATCGATAGCATTTAATGTACGTTATCGAACAAAACCGATAACGTACCGATGGAAGTGAAGTAAATGGTTGGAAAATAAAATAAAATGGCAGATTGGGATTTCGTTCAATCTCCATATTGCGCGTGAAATATCTAACTGATCGTTCTGCATTCATCACGTAAATTTTCAATGAAATTACCTCAGATAATTACTGGAGAGGTAAATTGAAAAATGATTGCCTTCACATTTGACCCGAGGAATAATAATTATCCAGTGGCATGAAAAAGTGACTGACATATAGAAGACATTTTCACACGTAATGCCGCTGCATTTAAGATGCAATAATGTATCGACTAAACGACCCAAAACGCTCTAATCAACTGGTGAAATTGAGAAAGCAACGGAGAAGTAATTAAAATGCAATAATCCATTAGATATTCTACTTTTCAGAGTTGCTCACTTGTTTATCGATCATCATGTATGAAAGCTATTGAAAATTATATTTTTCAGGGTGAAAAAATCCAGGTGGTATGACAAATCGAACGAGATAGGTTAAGTATAGAAGTGGCGGTACGTCTCCTTAAAATTCATCGCATGAAGCCGCGCCACGGACGTTACGATGGTATATATATAAAAATAAAAAAAAATGTTTAAAAGAGGGGGAGCAGAGGTGGGGCCGAAGAGAGATTTGAATTATGCAACGTCGCGTCGGAGAAGAAACGGGAGGTCTCGTCGACCGTGCGCCCCGACGAGTGCAAAAAGAAAAACTAATAAAAGAAAAGTGAAAAAAAATGAGGAAGCAGGATGAAAAACATGTCTTTTTCTATGTTGAAAGGCAACAAGGTAAAAAGATCCAAATAGTTGGGTTGTGAGCATATTTTCCAGTGCACTCGGACCCATTGAATATTTCTAGTGAATCGATTTCCCCCAGGGGCTCGAGATATATCTTACACGGTATGGCTTGCTGAAAGGAATCGAATCGGTTTGACGAGCTCTGGAGATGGAGAGTATTCAAGGTTTTTCCAAGGCGGAAGTCACGGTATGAAGGATGAAAATGATCTAGTAACCTTCGACTCACTAGTCAAACAATTTAATGCATATGAAAAAATATTCATTGCGTTTAAAGTATTTATATTTATCATTGTTTCTTCATATTTTTCCTCGCAATATCATTTCATTGGATAAAATTTCGTATGAATGTTAATAGTAAACTTCTCCATGTGTGGGAAATTTCAATTTGAATATTTAACTTTTTCTATTGCGTTTTTCCAGTCGAGGAGCGTCAAGGAAAAATTATTCAACACTCTAGTGAAATTAAGCAAACGCGCTAACCGATTATAGGCTGGATAATCCATCTCATTACATAGACTACTCTCTCCACGGGAGATAACCGTCTCTGTGTACTTGTTACATTAGTATAAGCTGCACGTGTTTCACCTACGCGTATTTACAAATCGTCGTGTGCGATCAACTCTACGCTCACAGTTTACTTTGTTCGATAAAAATCTTTTGAATTTCATCGTTCAGCACGCTAATCTTTGGGGATTAATAATCTTATCAGTAACTATCTTCGTTTGACCTCGGCATTCTCCGATGTGATTAAAATACTGGCAACTTGTATTTTTACTGTATTTTTTTAGGAGTAGAGCTATCTCAAAGAGATCAGGCAATTTTTAATTGACAAGCAAACTTCATTTTTTCCAACGGAATATTTAATTCGAAAATTTGATAACAAACCGTAAAAGGGATTGCAACATTGCAAAATTGCCTGGGAAACGGTAGTAAATTCAGTGCATAAATTCCACTCAGCCCCCAAGCCAATTATTTTTCCATAATCCCCAAAAAATGCAAACCCAAAGTGTAATCCCCGAACCTCCCATTGTTCTACCCGGACCAATGGAAATACATTATCAGCAATTTTTTTAGTCCATCAATTGCTTTTTACGGAGGTGCGGTGGACCTTGAACGCACGCTCGATCGGTCGCCTCAAAAGCTAAACACTGTAATCTCCAAGTGCGAGTACATGAAAAAACTTGGAAACAAAACGTGTACAATAATCTCGTGATACTAGAGCGCAAACGAAAACAAAGACATGGTGTACATCAGGACAAGAAGGACCAGTACACGACCAACAGAGACAGCCAACATATCTATACACTCGGCGGGATATTATGTAATACCCTAGCAACGCTGTAATACTCGATATCGAATTGACCTACAAATCTCGAGAGAGAGAGAGATTCTTTCCGCCTAGTCGCGCAATCCCGACACTGAGACCATCCCCCCTCGCTAAACACCCTGGCTATCCTATTGGAAAACTAATATTTCACAGGTTACCATGAAAATAAATCCGTCAACAAATGGACTTAATATCAACCGCATTTCATTCGATTTTAATCATCGTTATCTGATAAGAATACATAATGCACCGTTAATAGCAGCAATGGATAAATTAAACCGCCCGGTGCATTTAACAGAATCCATCGATTTACACCGTCCATTCGCTCGTGTTGTTTTTTTTTTATTCAACCAGTGGTTTTAGCAGGAAGAATACTTTTTGTGTTGATGATATTGCGTTTACGCGATGAATAATATTCGACTGTTTTTCGTTATAAAATTTCTGGATTTAAATTGAGCCATTTTCCCGATTAAAATTAGAATTACTCTCATGATTAATTCGAGATAATTGATAGCAAAACACCGTTCTCCCAATGTTTTATTCTGGGGTTTAATTAATAATAACTTTGATAACTTTCATAATAGGTTCATTAAAATTTCAATGGATGAAAATACTGTTGGACAGTATTTTTCGCCATGTTGCTTGAGCTCTCGATAAAAAAAAAAGAATAAAAAAATTTATCCTAGGTGAGCGGCTCTGATGGTCTCACTAACACCCAATGAGCCTCTTAAATACTTTGATAGGTGACAATTATGGAGTCCACGAAGTATCACGTTCTGGCCGATTGAAGAAATAATCGAGAAAATAGACGTAAAAAAATTACTTTGAGAGCAAAAGGTGGCTCGTAAAAGGATTATTAAACGAGTTTGAAAAGTCCCAGTCGACGCACCTGTTGAGAGATACTGGATCAGGAAAAATGGTAGACTTTAATTGGGGGAGAGTATTCATCGATTGATTGTGTTGAAATGTTTTCTCCTTTGATTCACTGGTTTATCGAGCTTTCTCAATGTGTGTAGTCTATGCCATAGACTCTATGGTACGTGTTAAAGTTGGGAGAAGGTGGCTAGAGGGTTTCAACGTCGGTGCAACATCCTCAATCAATTTGTCAAGGGAAAAAATTCTATTCGGGAGTATTGTTCCTCCAATTTCAATCAGTGTTTTAGTGTTGAGGGATTGATTGTGCATTAAACACTTCCATATTTATCGAGTTAATTGAAATAATGAAGAAGGATTGAAAGAAGGGGTGCTTACCTTGACGGGGGCACGGAAGAGCGAAGAGGCAGAGGATGCGTGGGAATTGGCGTGATGATGGTGGCCGTGGTTGTGGTGACCGTGGCGGGTGTCCGGAGCACCGCCCGCCGCCGCCTGCTCTGCCTGGACCGACATCGCTGCGCGTGCCTGACGCTCACGCTCTCGAAGCCGGTCCCGGTCCACGCTGAAACAATTTCAAACAAATATTTATAATCCACCAATATAGACGATACACATCCACTCACAAAAATCATACAGATAAATACAGCAAAATCCAAGTTGTAAGTCAGGCTCATAAAAAAAAAAAAAAAAAACCGCCAATTACGTGGGCGACTATAAGGGGCAGGGGGACTTGGATTTTAGAGGAGTGCGCGCGCAAAAGGCCAGAAAGAGATGCACGGGAATTGAAATGACGGAATGAGTTGAAGTGAGAGAAAACAAGAATGAGCTGTCGCGTTTATTTTGAGCCATCGAGCGAAGGCTAAACACCGGAATGCTAGTCTCTCAGTGATTTCTCGATTATTCCACTCAGCAATTCGCCTTTTTCGACACACATATCGTACAATCTATCCACGATGCAATATCTCATTAACAACTATATGAAAGTCTTCTCAAAGATTTTTTTGGAAAATTTTTTCAAAATCTTGAGAAGATTTTGCCATATTCCATGAGCGTCATCTACTTTATCTCTTCTCAATCGTCTCTGTATTTAATATCCCGACAATGACCTCCCTGCATGTCACCTCGACACTGACACAGTGACACCAATCCTGCCTGTCCACGTAATACAAAGATAAAAAAACAACTAAAAATGACAAGTATGAGCCTTGAGTTCTCCCTAAAGCGCGAGTGTCCGAATAAATTCAACGATCACCGTGTATGACTTTCAAACACAAAGAAAAACTCAATAGAGTAGAATTTTAATGAGTGTCATAAAATTTTTGGGCTGATGATAGCAAAGTGCGGGAAGTTGGCGAGTGTCGCCAAGTTAATCCGAGCATGAAAGCGAAGGATCCTCGGATGTCTTGAATGTTGTGTGGAGGGGCCGAGGAACTCCTTGACATGCTAGAGGGTACACGATGGCGTGCCCAAGCAGAATGAGACGCAGATGCGAGGATAACAAACCTCTCTCGGTGCAATCCCAAATAAAAGATAGAGGCTAAATCCCTCGAAACACAAGTGAACTCGTGTGTGTTCACCAAATGCAAATTATTCGTATCGGCCGTACCTTCATTTTTCGCTCTCCCCAAAATCTCAATCTCATTAATCTCGCTAAAATAGTTCTCCATTCATCTGTAAATATTTACATCTCATTCAAACGGCTTACTCGTCCGCTCCTGTTTACATCGAGTAAATACGCATGACATTACGTATTTTTATCACGAACACGGCTAATAGAAACATTTGGAGGGCTCATAGAGTTGATTACTGCTGGATCCGCTGTGTTTCTCACTGGTAACACATTGCTGCCCGTTAATTCCACTGAGTTCCCCCAGCCTGGGGGTACTCTATCTCTCATCCACTGGAACAATCTCCCTCTCCATCCAACGTCACCCAACACCACCCGATGCCGACGTTGACGACGTTGTGCCGCAGGCCGATTAATAAATCAAACGGACGCGCGCAACTATGTTGTGTGCATGCTCAACACTCAGAACACACCGAGCCCACACTCCTCCTCTTTTTTTTTTTTTTATCAATTTATAGAATTATTTTTTCCACCATCTACTACGACTTTTCTATCATCATCATCAACCTCAAATGATCGAATCAAAGGCCGCCAATTGTCATGTTATCCGAATCAATGCATCATTCCTTTCCACATTTTGTCAATTTATTATCTGGCCCACTATTATATTTTAAGAATTCAACTCAATTGAGATTGAGAGAAGAGAAAGACATGATTTGGGAGATGAGAGAGTCGCGTGCTCAGTGGAAATTCGCGTGCATTTTTTTCATCGACAATTCAGCGTTAAACTGTTATTTATGTTAAAGGCGTGCAGTCGGCTGGTATTTTTCACCCTTACCGATCACAGTACCGCTGCTACACTATAAATACATTTTATCCAGCCGAATGCCCCTCCCTCCCGACTATTTCACCTCCTCTTTCACTTTGTGCCGTGATCAACGGATATGATACCCGTGCTTCATTATTTTCCCACGTGAAATCTGTCCCCAATAAAATAATCATTGCACTTTATTGTCGTGAATTCGTAACGGATTTTCATGTCTGTTTTTAAGCCTGACCTATCTCAATATTATGTACGACGGCTCCATGAGAGAAAAATAAATAAAAGGGAGGTTGTGTCCTTGTATCGCTGTAGATTAGAGGAGAAACGGCTTGCGCGTAAACAATTGCAGTTATATGAGCACTGGATATGGGAAAATAAAGAGGGATGCTGGAGAAAAAGGCACGTCATAGCAGCCCCGGCACTTTGCCTTTCCATGAGCATACCTTTGTAAGTCCCTTTGTACCGCACCAGCGAGCCATCCAACTAATACCAGAAGATCCTCACTCTCTACTCAAAACCTTTAACTACGTCACGTTGGTTACTCTGTTACCAAACTTTTTTACCAGGTAGCTTTTTTCATTTCATAGTCACCGATGCAATTCCGTATCTTCTTTACTTCCACAAATTGTCCATTTTTTTCAATTAATCAATTCAATTTAGAGGTATTTTTTTGGCTGGTTATAATGTACCACTATTCCCATGGATTTCCATTTAAAAGCCAAATTTTCAAACGACCCAATTTAAAGCAATTTATCATGGCAAATGGAAAAACGTGAGTTTGCTGAACTTGTGGCAATGCCCTGTAAATTTCGACCGTGACCTTGTCACGCGAAATCCCTGCGAGTACGAATCCAACCACCGGACAAGGATAATTCGTTTCATGGATTTTCGTAAAGTGCCTCAAGTGCTTTGAAAATATGATCTAAGAAGAGAATACAATTGATTATTCGTATGTATGTATCTGATGATTGGATTTCACAGGTTGTGCCGGAGAACACGGCACAAACCTGACGATCGATATCTCACTGGCCGTGGCAATCGGCTTATCGCAGTCTCTCCTACCCCAGAACCCCCCACAACTCCCAACTCCTCCTGGATTTAAGCCTTTTCCACTGTTTCTCTAGACTCGAGCTGTCGCGCACATACACCTCCCAACATCACCAACATCCACATCCCCTCCAATCATCCATCGCATTTGTATACGTGATCCTAGGCACGTGCTTCTTCATCGTAAAACCACGCGCGCCACCTCATTTTATCCTTCCTAATTTTTACTCACTCCCAACGCTTTTGACATTCCAATCAACTTGGCTTTATCCACTTCTACTAAGGCATTTTAGATTCGATTAAATACCAAATGAACTCTATGCTATTTTAGAGAAAATAACTGATATGCAGTGGAGCTCAAAAATTGAGTGAAAAAATTAGATAAAATAATGGATTTTCTGTGGAAAAAAATGACCCAATTACGGATTTACGGCCTCCGTAAATTATTATAGCCTAAAAACTCGTTGTTCAGTCAGCCATGTTTGAATGTATTAACGTGAATGGTGAGTGCAACACTTGCGCAAGAGGTTGGCGCATTGGCACGAGTCAAACTCCCAATACTTGACGAACTACACAATGCAAATGAACAAATAAACTTCCCTTACCCACGCGAAAAGTTGCCGGATAATCCACACGTTACACTCAATTAACTCCAAAACCTCCGTGCACTTTAATCTCAAAGTTTAGCGGGAGGAACTGGTGGAAGAGCGCCTTTGATACCGATTGATACCAAATAAGATGTGAAAAAGTAATGATCTTCTATATGTTAGATTGTTGTGCTCATATTATGGCTTATCGTCGGAGGGATCACCGGAGGTCACGGGCTCTACAGTGCGTCCTTCTCTCTCTCACGCCAAAATCATTGAAATTTTCCTCTCGAGGTTACCACCTACGTCACTATTTCACACGTAAAAGACAAAGAATTGAGTTTTTACAGCACAGCAGACGCCTGAGTATTTCATAACTGACACGTTAAACGTTTTCTACAAGTGATGTATCGTCAACTGACGTCACAGTGAGGCGCTATCGTCGCGTTTATAACGAGCTTGAAAAAAAAAACATCACTTGACGGGCACGTTCCGCGGCCCCAGCAATAAACACGGGTTTTATTTATTTTCCGTGATCCAACGTCAGCAGGACGATAATACCTTGAATTTTCTTGACGTATCAATAACAATGCAACAAGAGATCAATGAATTTTTGCATTGATGCGATATTGAGAAAACAATGTAGTTAGCTTGGGAAAATAAGTGACCAATTAAGAAATTTCATCCTAACATATGAAAATGCATCTCGGATCAACTCGGATTGTCTCAACTATTATATGCCTGAGGACAAATAAAAACTAACTCACCGAGTATTCAAGAGCGTGACTGGGTTCGTCGTCGCGCTGTATCCAAATATAATATTGACGTATCAATTCTGGAATCACCTGCGGTAGATATCACCTCTCGTAATTGTAATATTAAAATTAGCGACTTATCATCACTGCTTGCTCTCATAATTCCTCAATTCCTCAATTCCTCCGTGTAATCACCATGGAGAAGAAAAAAAGGCACACGCACTTGAAAAAGCGTTAGCACGAGGCGAGTTGTCGCGAGTTGTCGCGAGCTAACACGACGTGGCCCCGAGGAAGCGGCTAATCCGGAAACGCGCGCCCCTACGTAACCACGTCGGTTTATTTCCACAAAATCATCAATTAAAATCACACTGTTTCATCATAATCACGACTTGTACAGTGGAGCGTTGATCGGGGATAAATTTTGAGGTAGTAAACAGGATAATCAACTGTTGCTCGGGCCCTAACGAGCCATTCGTGGAACAACAATCAATTCACGTCAACATTTAAAAGCATTTTCATAGCCCCCTCATTACTTCATTGAAAAAAAAAACACCCTCACTTGGCCGATGCGTGTTGCGCCGGTGAGCGCGAAAGGTCACCCTCCAGCCTCGTTATTTTGATGATATTGCGACCAAGCAATTCACTGCAAAACCTCCACCGATCCTCAAATCACTATTCAATGACCAACCAACCAACCAAATCGAATTATCAAAACTGTCGACAAGTGCGCGTCACACATTTCACTGGATTTCCCACTGAAACTCACAGGTGTGGAGCCACCAG